GCATCTAAAGTAAGCCACAACCCCGCGGTAAGTAGGAATACCTCGATTTAGGATAAGACTCTGTAAGGAAATGTGTTTTCTCTCAACACGTAAGACCAAGTTTAATTAATTAATTAATTGCACTATTATGAAGCTATAAGTGCGAGGCGTATAAGCTTTTATTTTGGTAGTATTTATCTCACAAAATTTATCCTTGATTTATCACACAGTTTTCGTTTATAAGCCCGCATAACACGTATGGCGATATCAATGTGTCAAGGGAATAAATAACGAGAGAATTATCATGTAAAAATAAAATATCTACAAGCGTTAAGTCATGTTATACCTTACAGAGAAATGTTAGTAATACAAATCAAAATAATTTTAATACCTCGTGTTTTTATACTCAAGTTGATAATAAATTAATTAAAATTACCAGAAATAATTTAAAATCTGGCATGAACTAATTCCTGAAAACATGAGTTACTCTGAAAAATAAGCAAATGTATCGACAAAGAACACTGATCATCGCCAAAATAAGCAAATGTATCGACAAAGAACGTTGATCATCGCGGGATAACAATGATCTGTAATACCGACCTAACGTAACATTTATACAAGTGCATCTTCTTACCTGTAAATTTTGCGACACCTTTGAAGGTCACAGCTTCAATTATGTACGACTCACTTCGTCCCTTGGCGTTCACAGCGTAGAGGTTGACCTGGTAACTTGCTCCAGGTTCCATCCCGTAAATATCGAACACAGGTGGTCCGCGGGCCACCGTCACGTTGTACCGCGGTCTTAGACTAGGAAGTTCCAGCAGCTCCATCAGGAAGCTCTGAGGTAGGCCGCCGTCAAAGCTCTCAAGGCATTCGACGTGCAGCGAGTCCGAAGTCTGGTTCACTACTGAGCAGTTGATCAGCGGAAACGGACGTCCTGGGAAGAAACACTGGTAGCAGTATGTGTTCATTGTCTCGCATGTCAGTGGTCATTATAATGACCTCCTCAAAAACTCAATGAACACTTAACTTAAAACACAACTTCATTTTCTCCTATATATACAATACACAGTGTTTTACGAAGCACGTCTTAGCCACTGGTGTAGAAAATGTTAGATTTTGATCCTTAGTGACAGTTATCTCTGAAATTTGTTCAATAGGCCACATCGTATAAGAATAACTGTCAGTAATTGACCTCTAAAAATGTTATCATTCAAAATTACATATTATCAGTGGCAAAATGGATGATTCTACAGCACTGTAAACTATATCAGCCCGAACTTATAATTGCTAATTTTGTGTTGGAAATTAAACTTCGTCTATCTTTGAAAATTAACAATAAAATAAGTATAATTTCAAAAAGTTTTGTTATCAGATTTGTAACCACGATTAATTCTAAATGTGGTCATCACTAAAAATTTAAGTAATTTTCTAATATAAAACGAACAAGATGATTTCGTGTAAACAGAAGTTGTACTGTGAAGCCTGTGTTAAGGCTTCATTCAGTGTTACGTTTAATAGCTGCGTTAATTAATATTCTTGTATTTAATCTCTCGCTTAGCTCCACGGGTGAGTATGAACATGTTTATCTAACGGCCTGAAATGTTCTGACCATTTTTCTGTATTTACTACAATGAAATACAAAAGTAACCTTGCGCAAATTTCACCATTTCCGTGTTATTGTACCTTTCACTCACATAACATTTTCAGATCATTGTTTTCAAAGTCACAAACACACAAAAATTCATGTGTGTGTACTTTTTCGTATCAGAGTGTGAAACCAAATTTCGCACCGACGTAAAAAAGGGGGAGGAATTTCGGTTGAAATGAAAAGCTGTATTAATTACAAATGAACACGGAAGTTAATAGAGTACCATCCATTCCGAATGGTAATGGAATAATAAATGCTAATAATTAGTGAAGTGCACATCAAAGAATGAAAGTAAACTACATATATGTACAGAATTAACATGGCATAGCCACATCAGTGTATTCTAGTGGAAATAAGAGGAGGGCTCAGTTCGAATGCTCTTCGCCTGCATGAGCATTTGAGTCGCTCCAAACTGTTACGATCAGGTAAAAGTTTGGATACTGTCGGATCATCGCTGAGTCGAATCTATGGGCGATGAACTCGATTTAAGCTCCTCTAGGAATCTTTGAATCACGAAAGAAATATCGGGCCGTAGAGGGTCAACAAGGGAGAAACTCCAGCTCCAGATTCCATATTTACCTTCATATTCAATATAATCGAGTAAATCCAAGAACAGTTCTGAGGGAACCGAACTCTTATCAGAAGATCCCGACTTATAATCTAAAACACAGTGATAACAACTTATTTTAACAATAAGTAACTGCATATTCGTCTCCACAACGTGTACTTACGGTTTTCGTGATTTTCAGAATAAGAAGTGAGTGGTCAGCGTTAAGCCCCGTCCACACTTTATCCCCGGGAAAGGATCCCGGTACCCGTTGGACAGGAGGCGGGGTGGAACCCAGAGTCGGTCTGGAAAGATCCTCTGCCCCCGTCTGGATCGAACCCCGGTAGCTCAGACTATACACCGCCGAATAAGACGATCATACTCAAAGGTTGTGGAATTAGGCGGTCGAGGCCTAATTTAAGGTACTATCCCGGCATTTTCCAGGAGGGACCGAGGAAAACCACGAAAAACCTCTGTTAGGCTAGCCGGTCTCCAGGTCGTGATTTGAATCGGGGACCGACAGAGAGATGGGAGGGTAACATTAAGTTGAAGCTTGAGAAAAAAAAGTTGTGAAGTTGAAAGTTGAACGGAACTGGCTCGGGATCTTGTTTCAATCGCACGCACTAAGTTTTACGGGTGTTGTACCTTCACGTTCAGCTGTAGGATAGTTAGAATTTCCTTGCAATTATGTGTATATCTATTCCAAATTACGCTGGTAAATATTCACTGTAATGTTTGTATTGTAAACACTTCGTGTTACGGCCTTGCGTGCCGTATTGGCGATAACAAATTATGTAAAAAATTAAGTCGTGATAATTAAATACATTTCAAGCTATCTTTACGTTTGTGTCACGAAACTCCTCACAAATGTGGACTCCTGTAAGCTCGTGTTAAACACATTTTAAAACTCTGTCTTCAGTCTGACGCAAGACTTTGACATTATGCTACAGAAAAATACTATCCCAGCTTTAAGAACGTTACGTACATTTATTGCGACGTGCAACATTTCATCTTAGAAAGATTTAACGAAGAGCCTAAAATACACAGTATAGGATTTATATGTGTGTAATACATCAGAACACGCGAGAAATAACCATTTCAATAACTGATATTGTACGAAGACACTTAGGAAACAATGAAGTCTCTTGGAGCTAATTCAAACTGCCACCGATTCAGAAACGCCAGGTGGTGCTTACTGACGCATATTCCTGGCCCAACAATAATCGACTCTGAGTACTTCACGCATAAAAAGTTGAAATAACACAAGTTCTATATTCACTAACAACAATTTCACAAAACCGGGCGTGGGAGAATGGACACAAGACGATGTGGGCTTTCATGTCGTCACTTCTTACCAGGATGAATGAAGTCATTATGACAGGATGAAGCTCCAAAGTCAGATATAGAATAACACTGACATCAGAAGCTAAAGATTCAAAACGTTTTAAAGTATCGACAATTAAATTATAGTATCCTCGCTGAACACCACACTTCTCAGAGCTATTTTCTCGGGTACTTAAACTCGCCTTCACCGCCCATAGAATAAACAATTTTCATAATAATAAATAAAAACTAAATATCTCTTTACATTAAAGTCATTATCATGAAGCCTGAGATGACGTCAACCGTTAGGTGGCTCTGTTAAAGACAGTGGTTCTGTTTATACATTTTCTTCCTTCTATGGTTCATGCCTATGAGATGCACTTCATCTCCATTCCACCTGCGTATACATTTTTTTTTCCAGACAGATGAGAAGGAAGTCTAATCCCGTAGTAGGTAACATTTTGACTCAAAAGCTTTACCGCAGACTTGGTATTTTCAACCAAAAGTGATTGCCGTTTAATACCGTGGGATCAGGTACGAACAACGTCCGTGTTCTTAAGTAGGATTGTCAAATGCGAAAGCTAATAACTCTGTCACTCAAAGAATGTTGGGTTGTTTGGGATGTTAAGAAGATGAGAATAAACCACGGTTGAATTTAACCTTTCACCTAAACAGCTGATAGAACTAATCAACGGCAGAGAGGGTACAAGGAACAACGTAAATTAACGAAATATGTGAAGAAATTTTACAAATACTTTTATTTTACTTCAAATTACGTAAGGGATTCCAGGAAATGGTACAAAATTTAATCAACTAGTGGATCATCGGCAGCAAAGAGCAGAGCGGACGGACCGACCAGGAACTTGGGCAGGGAGTGGACACTCGCTGTCGGCCGATCAGATCTCCTGCGTTACGCCCTTTGCATGTACAAAACTGTATCATGAGTAGATAAGTGTGTTTGTTCCTGAATCAGAATAACAGGGCCATTAAATACTACATCTAGTTCAAAAGCTTAAAACTTCTGAGCAGCTACAAAGCGTAGTTTGTGAAAACGAGACCGTTCTCCATGTCATTTCAGAGTAGGGAAGTCTTTTATCTGAGTCTCACATAATATTAATTCTGTGAGACGAAAATAGGGTGAACCCAGTGAGAATAATTAAATCATGATTATTTAACGACGCTATCAGTAGCTGAAACTATATAACGTCCAATGACAGGATAACTAGGAAATGATATGGAAGGAATCTGTCGTGGCCTAATTTAAGATAATACCCGTCTTCTAACATCATTTCAAACTATAAACATCCGGAATACGAGAAGGGATTGCTAACAATTAATTCCAAGCAAACTGAGTGCTTTAGTAATCACGAAGTTCCACTGCAGAAAGAGGGAATTATTTACACGTTGCTTTTATATAAGGACTTCGAACAGGTCAAATAAACTTGGAATTGTGAATTTTTTTGGTAGTAACGTTGCTCTAAAAATTATATTAAGATTATTAAGTGCATAGTATCTTTTTTAAAAATGATGTCTTTGTTAGATTTCTAAAGCTTTGTAAAAGATGAAAGAAACAAATTTTAAAATGAATGTCGTTACACGTGTACGATTTATTATTTCGAAAAATAAGCGACGGGAAATAACGTGGAAGGGCGGACGTTGTCTGCGACCCTTCCTTTTTTATAAGCGAGAGGATGAACATCGTATATTATCGTAAGGTTTGTTCCTATAGTGATGTTTCCATTCTTTCTCATGCTCTTTGCTTCTCTCAACTTCCTTCTTTTTATACCGTCTTCCAAACTTACTGTTCACAAGATATGTGAAATGAAACTACAGAATCACAGATCAGCACACGGGGTATTACGTTATCTTTTCAGAGGAGTGAAAGATTTACATTTTTGTTATATTTTATTTGTTTATAATTGCCACGTAGTCAAAACAGTTTCTGATGAAGAACTCTGCTCAGTAGAGTTGGTTGGTTAGTTAGCTAGTTAGTTAACAACAACACCATACATAAACGAAATTAACCGTACTTCTAATATACTCACATCTTCAAACTGATCGCAGTTTTCTGGTTTTCTGTCTCTGTCAAGGTATTGTGCGCCGGAAATCCCAAAGAATTTCTAGTCGTATAATACGCACGATCGCTGAAAATCCAGACTCGCTCACAGAATTACACGGGGGTGAAAGCAAACTTATAGGGTATGAAGTGTAAAGCGTCATTGTGATGACCTCGAAGTGAACTGATACAAACACTTGTGGTACTGTTGCTACGTTTTAAATGTTCAGGCGCTGCACATGGCAAAATTCATTTGTGAAGGATCTGTGTAAT